TTAATGAAAAAAAAAAAAAAAAAAAAAAAAGACCATCAGGTGGCATAGTGGCTAAGGCACTGGACTCCCACATGGCCGGCCAACTATGGTTCAAGCCCTGGACCTAATGCCTTGAAAATCATACTGGGCACATGTGCATGGGTGTCCAAAATCCCAAGAGGAGAATGGAGAGGGGACGCTGCAGTGAGGCCATCCCCGCAGGTGGTGGTTTCTCACTTTCCCTCTCTCTGTCTCTCTCTGTAAAGTGCAAATGCCCTACAGCAAAAAATAAGAGGGGGAAAAAAAAAAGATTATGTTAGTCTTTTGGCATTTAGTGAAGTTCCAAATAACTCAGTTCAATTCTGAAGTCTGGGAACCTCTGTGCTCCATAGGTGTTTCAGCATGGCTGTCCAATGGTGTTTCCTACTGAAAGCATCCAAATTGTGTGTCTCTGGATGGAGACATGATTCTGGCAGAACTACTTAACTACTATGGTAGAAATTTAACTACTAGCCCTAGAACTTGCCTATCCCAGGGCAGGAGCTAATAGGATAGAAATAGAAAAACTTCTTCACATTTTCCTTAAACAGTAAATGAATCTTCCTTTTTCTTTCTAATTTTATTTATTTATTTATTTATTTTGGAGAGGTTTTTACTACAGAGTGCGTGCGCTCGCCAGACAGACAGAGACAGAAAGTGAGAAATCATGCCCCTGGGGTGATGTCCACGCTGCAATCCCTTCTCCTCCATTCTCCTCTTGGGATCTTGAACACGCACACGCACATGCTCCTGGTGTGAGTTTAAGCCACCGGGTTCGGGACTCGAACCGCGGTCGACTACGTGAGACGGAAGAGTCCGGCGACTTAGCCATTACTCTAACTGCTGGTCCCTCTCTAATTTTCTTTGTAAAATTAAGAAAGCACTTCCCCAGGCCAGCCTGTGACATGGTGGCTAATGGGACTGGATCCCACATGACTGACCACATAGTTGATTGCCAGACCCTGGGGGTTTGAGAAACTATGGAGTGTATGTGAGAAGATGCCCAAACTCCAGAAAGGAGGGAGAAATGATGATGAGACTGCAGCCTAATCCCCATGGGGGGCTGCTTTCTCACTTTGTCCCCTTTTCCCCTGCCTCACCAAGTATACATGCCTTCTGGCAAAATTTAGAAATAGAAATATAGGGGGACCAGCAGTTAGCGTAATGGCTATGTCGCTGGACTCCCATGTAGTCAACCACGGGTCGCGTCCTGGACCTGGTGGCTTAAAACCCACGCCAGGTGCGTGTGCGTGCGTGCCCAAGATCCCGAGAGGAGAATGGAGAAGGGATTGCAGCGTGGCCATCCCCCCAGGGGGGTGATTTCTCGCTTTCTGTCTCTCTGTCTCTCTCTGTCTGGCGAGCGCACGCACCCTATGGCAAGAACCTCTCCAAAAGAAAATATATATATAGGAAGAAAGCACACCTCTCATGATACACAATTTGTTAAAACCAAAATTAAGAACAGTGAAAAAAAGCAAACCAATTTAAAAACAAAAAAATAACCGTTAAAAAAAAAATTTAAGTGATAGTTTAGGGGACGGCCAGTGGCATGGTGACTGAGACACCTGGATTCCACATGGCCAACTGCATGCAAATCTCAGGTGCAGTGGCTTCAAAAACACACCAGGCATGTGTGCATGTTCAAAATCCTGAGGAGTGGGGGCCAGCAGATGGCATGGTGGTTAAGGGTGCTGGATTCTCACATGATCGACCACGGTTCAAGTCCTGGACCTGGCAGCTTGCTTTCTCACTTTCCTTTTCTCTCTCTCTCTCTCTCTCTCTCTCTCTCCT